GGCATTCCCTGACCGAACAATTAGTGTTGCTGTCGTTTGAAATTTATAGACTCTTTCTCTTAAAACAATATTTCAGGAAAAGTAGTGAGTATGTTCTGGGTAAGATAAAATGAAAAAAAATCATTAAATAATCCAACAAAGGTTTTGTAACTGTATATCTGGCCAATGCTGCACAGCCAAATGTGCACCGGTTGATTACAAATGTTGATAAAATCAGCACATAACCTTGCAGGTGGAGCTCAATTAGAAACACTTTCATGCCAGTCCGCAATTTTATGTAATTCTCCCTTTCTTGAATGTTACTTTTGTACATTTATCTAATGCGAAATCCATGCCTATGTCATCACTGAAGCATTTTACAGTATTGAGGACACCCTTCAAGTCATTGTTTTCTCTTGCAATGTGTTTGATATCATGTATGTAGAATAAGTCACTAAACACTTTCTTTTTTCACATTGTATCCATACTTATTATTGTTTAGTTCATGCGGATGGTGGGGATTAATGACAGGGAGAACAGAAGGGGCGATCTTAATCAATGTTTCAGGGAAGCAGGTTTCTTAAGTTCACTGTTTGCAGCAATTCTAGGACTGATTTCCTTCCTAAACTTTTATTTGAAGTACTGTGGAACATCAATATCTTGATTAAGTTATTATTTTCTATTTAAGTTAAAGAGAGATCCATTTTAGACGTTGCTGTTGGTGAAAGAACTCGTGTAATAAGCTTTCTTTTATCTAGTACGTTTTGTTTTTGATTCTGTAGCGCCAGTCTAGAATTTCCGAAGAAGGATGGTTTTCGCCAAGGGCCACAGATTTCACTCCATATGAAAGTCTCAATCTGACGAAGATATTTAAGAACATGATGATCTTTGCCAAGACCCTTAGATTTCATTCGCTCAAAGACTTTTTAAACCATTGATCATAGGAAGCGGTTGTATACAGCTGAGAGTTTAGATATTTATAAACGGGTTTGGCACCATGTATGGCATCCATATGAAAGTCTCAATCTGACGAAGATATTTAAGAACATGAGGATCTTTTGCCAAGACTCTCACGTTTCATTCACTCAAAGACTTTTTAAATCATTGAAACGGTTGATCAGCTGAGAGTTTAGATATTTCTGAACGGGTTTGGCATCATGCATGACATCCATATGAAAGTCTCAATCTGACGAAGATATTTAAGAAAGATTGATGATTCTTTGCCAAGACCCTCAGATTTCATTCGCTCAAAAGCCTTTTTAAATCATTGATCTTAGGGAGGGTTGTATACAGCTGAGAGTTTAGATATTTATAAACGGGTTTGGCACCATGTATGGCATCCATATGAAAGTCTCAATCTGACGAAGATATTTAAGAACATGATGATCTTTGCCAAGATCCTCAGGTTTCATTCGCTCAAAGCCTTTTTAAATCATTGATCTTACGAAGCGGTTGTATATAGCTGAGAGTTTAGATATTTCTGAACGGGTTTGGCACCATGTATGGCATCCATATGAAAGTCTCAATCTGACAAAGATATTTAAGAATATGATGATCTTTGCCAAGACACTCAGATTTCATTCGTTCAAAGCCTTTTTAAATCATTGATCTTAGGAAGCGGTTGTATATAGCTGAGAGTTTAGATATTTCTGAACGGGTTTGGCACCATGTATGGCATCCATATGAAAGTCTCAATCTGACGAAGATATTTAAGAACATGATGATCTTTGCCAAGATCCTCAGGTTTCATTCGCTCAAAGCCTTTTTAAATCATTGATCTTACGAAGCGGTTGTATATAGCTGAGAGTTTAGATATTTCTGAACGGGTTTGGCACCATGTATGGCATCCATATGAAAGTCTCAATCTGACAAAGATATTTAAGAACTTGATGATTTTTGCCAAGACCCTCAGCTTTTATTCGCTCAAAGCCTTTTTAAATCATTGATCTTAGGAAGCGGTTGTATACAGCGGGGAATGTAGTTATTTCTGAACGGTTTGGGCACCATTCATGGCATCCATATGAAAGTCACAATATTACGAAGATATTTAGGACATCATGATCATTGCTAAGACCCCCAGGTTTTTAAATTTTTCCCACAATAATGAATTTTTGCTACAGTAATGGATTTCTTTTTTTTTTCTACACTAGCCGATTTTTTCTTTCTACTATAGCGATGTTTTTTTTTTCTTTCTACAGCAACAAATTTCTTTCTATAATAATGAATTTCTATTTGTCTTTGTTAATTAAACAACATTATCTACAAAGGCAGTTTTTCTGTGTTAACCATTCACCTTGGTTTAATGGATCTGGAAATTTCCATATATGAATGCTCTGTATCCAAAAGACCGCTCATTAATTCGTTTATCACCATCCCGACTCTAGCCTGGCATCTGCAACTTTATTCATAAATGTTATCTATTTATTTGTTTTCCGTATAACCATTGGAAGTTTAAATTTAGCCTTTAGCACTTTGCGATATTCTTAAGTATTTTATCCTCATCCATGGTATCACATCATGGGTGTAAGTGGCCATACAACTACATTTTTCAGTTAGTCATTTTCTTGTTGCCATAGCTGGATATGACAACACTAGCGCAAAATCCAACCACACTATTGTTTGATGATCAGATTTGCGTGTTGTGGCTGTAGAAACATTTTGTACAACGCGCTAAAGGTTTCAAATCTGTTGGTTCCAATCTTGGTGGGAAAGTCCGTAAAACCTTTTCCCCTCCCCTTTTATATGCTGGGATTTTTTCCTAGTCTATAAAATAGGCCAGTTCTCGGTTTTATCTGACTCAGTCCCCGTTTGTTTTGCCATGAAGTCAGAATTTTACGTTCGCTTGTCCGAACTTGAGAAGACCCACTGTCACTTAATCTTTGGGGTGAAAAATAATAATAATAATAATAATAATAATAATAATAATAGTAATAATAATAATAAAGAAAAATCAAAGCTAACCGCCCAGACATTGTTATTAGCGATCGCAAAAAAAAACAACAAGCGTCTCCTTATTGATATGGTAGTCCCTACAGACTGCAATGTATCTTTGAAGATCTTCAAAAAGCTGTCAAAATACAAGGACCTTGAAATCGAAATCTCAAAAATGTGGCATATGGGAACATCAACATCGGATTGGTTGGAAAAGATTCCAGTAGACTTATTGAAGGGATTCCTGGAAACCAATGCCTTAAAGAAATACAAAAATTGTTCTCACGAACACCTTACGATTGGTTTGATCTGTGTAAAATATGATTTTTTTTTTTTAGTTGATCAGTGGAAAAATGTCATGATCCATTTCTAACCTGAGGTCTCTGGTGGTGGGGGGGGGATCCGGAGAGAAATCTGTACACACCATTAATCAAAGGAAATGGAATAATAATAATAATAATAATAATAATAATAATAATAATAAGGATTTGTCAAATCCCTGTATTACGAACATTCCTCTTAATAAGAATTTTAAAATAATTCAGCAGACGTAATTTTTTAAGGTGGCAATTGGATTTTTAACAATTGCCTTACTCCGTTTCTATTGTTCGATAATGTGCGTCTGAAAAATGACGCTTATATCACGGTCGCCATTCCTTCTCGTTTTTTTGGCTCAAAGTGTAGTAGCTGTCCTTGTGTCTCTGTCTGCGGACAGATTAGGACGTTTCCGGTCACGGGAAACATCTGCGCGCGTCAGTCCCTCGCACGTTGCACTAAGGTCGGGTGAGGGATCGTTAGTAATAAGGATGCCAGCGCAAGCGACTGTTGCAAGGGCAGGGGTATTTTTGGATCTGACATGGGTGCGATGCTCGGGTTCTCCACATAAAACTGGCCTTGTGGCACATGTGAGAAAATAAAATAGAATCGTTTCTCGGCCTTTTGACTGAGATTCGATCACGGCTACGTCTAGCTTGGCTCGGGTCTGGACCAGATAGGACAAGTCAAGTCCAGCTCTGACTAGCTTAGACCAGCTCTGACCAGCTTAGACAAGCTATGACCAGCTAAGACCAGCTTGGAGCGGGTCGCCACGTTAGAAACCGACCTTGTGTCACTACTTGACTCAGTGGGGTGTCAAATAAATAAACGGCCTTTTGGCTAAGATCAAACTGTAGTATCTGTTCTTATCAACTTAATCTGATTCTCTCTTTATTTCTTTCTTTCTTTCTTTCTTTCCATCTTTTATTTTCTTTCAGAAATCAATTACTGTATTTTCCCGTCTTTCCACGTAATCAAAACGGGATAATCGATTATTTATAAGGTATTGGCAGGGCGTAGTGGTCGTACAAACCAACGAACGGAGAGACAAGAACAATTATAATAGAATTATGATAATGACAAGGTAAATTTGGGGTCTGTCATCTGGAATCAATCCATAAAAAAACTCATGCAAATAGTTTATCCAAAATATAGGAAAATTATAGGAAAAAACGTTGAAATTTAAGCACATCACGGATAGACTACCGTAAAATCTTTGATAGTCTCCGACATTGTTGGATCCTTAAGGTTTTGGAAATGTACAAAGCCACCTCGGTGATAGTAAATGTTCCTAAATATAACATGGAACTGTAGAAAACCATATTATAACTAAATTACGCTAGCGGTACTAACACTTCCAGTTGTTTGAATATCCGACGGGGAACCTTTCAAAGGGGGAGGGCTCCTTGACGCCCCTTTTGTTCTGTCTGTCCTTAATCCCCCTTTTCGCATGAACTAAGCAGTAATAACTATCGATACAAAGTAACAAAGGAAGGATTTAATCACCTATTCTGTCTGGATGATATCAAATTCTTTGCCAAAGACGACAATGAGTAATGTTTCTAATATAATGTATTTAATGTAATAATAATCTAAGCCATGTGAATGGCTGTATTACTAAATGTCATCGAAAATGCTGAAGAGTGAGTACTTATCTTTTAATAGATTTGTTGTCACATGATAAGAAAAGTTACGTGATCGTAAAATATGAAAATTCATCGAATACGAAAAATAATACTAACTATAATAGTAGAATAATCTGTATCAATATCGAT